AAATTGATGGGAGGTGTTGACCTTTTGGATTCTCTGGTTTCCCTGTATAAACAAAAAATGAAATCCAGAAGATGGTACATGTACATTTTTTGGCACACCATTCTCATCGCTGCTGTTAATGCATGGCTCTGGTATAAGCGGCACTGTAGTCTATTACATCGGAAACCAATGAAGCTCTGCAACTTTATCAGAGATGTTGCATCAGGGTTGATCGAATTTAAATCTAAAGTTGGACGACCAGCAGGTTTGTCATCACCATCTGTCCCCAAACCACTGACGAGGAAACCCACTCTGGATGTGAGTCAGGACTGCCTAGACCACTTTCCTCTATGGGATGCAAAACGTCAACGTTGCAAATACCAGTACTGTGAAGGATTCTCCTATGTCAAATGCATTAAATGCAATGCTCATCTTTGTCTAAACAAAGACAGAAACTGTTTTACAGCTTTTCATTTCTCAGGAAAATGAAACATTGAAAAACAATGCTTCTTCACTAGTGCCATACATACAACTGATTATTCTAGTTTGAACTGTTGATCTTGCTGTTAATACTCAAAAATTCTAAGTTTGTTATTTGTTTATTTTGTTATTGTTACTAGTTACTCAAATGTTTTATCAAATTAAATGTATTTTCAAATTGAAATGCTCGAGTATTTGTATCAAATATGCAACATGGAGCGGTAATGCCCAGTGTAACATATATGCTACAAGCTGTAAAATGTTTAAAAATTGAGATATTGCGTAAAACTCTCCGATTCCTGGTAAAAAATACTGATGTAAGCGTTATTTATAATATTAAGAATTTTCTGACTGACATAATTGGGTTTGGGCACTAGAGGGTTAATATTGGCAATCTGTATTGTATATATAATTGTTAATTAATTCAAGAAATCAAAGCCTTAGATGAAGATAAGTAATTAAGGTCTTCCGTCTTCACGGAAGACCTTATAGTGATTCTACTGTTTCTTATTATTATTCTTTTTATTTTTTTTTGACTTTTTAATTTTGTGCACGCGATTTCTCGAAGACTACTGGATGAAATGACGTGAAATTTTCAGAAATGATGTGTCGTAACATGAATTTTATATATCCGGGAGATTTTTGGAAATTCGCTTCCGGTGCCAAGTTACAGACAATTTTCTGAAATTAAAATGACATTTTGTCCGCGATTAAACTCAAAAACGGTAAAAGATATCCACATGAAACTTTCAAGGATTATAGATCGTGATATATACCATCCAGGACGCGACTCTTCGTTCGTCGTCGGTACTTCCTGTCGTTAGGAGAAGCGAATTGAAAAAATCGCATTTTCTAACTTTTTTGTTTTTCAATATTTTTTATTTATTTTTGGAATGGTAATAGAGACCCTTCTATTGATGCTTACTGTATAAGTTGTTTGTATATTGATTTGTCTGAACTCTAGACATTAACATTTGAAAATCTGAAGCGGGACCAAGATGGCGGCTCTCTCTGTCAACTCCGCCATTTCGCGAGTAGGGGTTTATGGAGGCAGCTGAGCGTTTGATTAAACGATTCTGACATAAGGATACATGAAATGTAAAAAACTACTTCGACTCTCACGTAGTAGTGAAATGGTTGGAGGAGTTACCTCCCGTTACTTGTTTATATTATAATAGATAATCAATGTAAATATTGTAATTAATTGGTCAATTGACAAAAGAATTATACCAGTAATATTGATAAATGATGTTCTGTTAGAAAATAATAATAGTGTTGCCAAAAGAAAGGCAGTCTGTAGTATTTTATCAATATGATATCTGATAACTTATGATCATTGATTAAGTTGAGATACAAGGGGGCAGTACAGCCAATTGACTTGTGTCTTCACTCTGGTACAGAAACGAATTAGTGTATCGATCAAATCGTATTGTGCAAAGTTGCCGAAGTCAGTGACTAGTTAAAATATAGCTGTGTGACGTTAACTATAGGTTTGTCATTAGGACAGAGAAGCTCTCACAAAGTTAAATACTGTCTAAGTATATTGTAGCTACTTGGCTAGAGTTATATAGGCAACTTGGTAAGCAGTAAGACAACAGGCAGGTGTTAAAGGCTAAATCAAGAGGCACCAGGCAGGTGGCTGTTTATTTATATAGTCAGTTGTATGTGAGGCAATTGTCATATGGCACCAGGCAGGTACCGGTATTAACTGAAGATATATAAGTGTTCAAAGAACTTAGGTCATTTGATTTAAAGACACCAGGCAGGTGTCATATTATTATCTGTAAATATTGCATTCAATCATATCCCCAGTAAAACTCGGTACTCCGAGCACGGACCTACTAACCGCTCAGGACCGACACGTTACAGTAGTAAGTTGCAATTGAGTGTCAATCTTAAAACTTAATTTCCGTTTCACTGCTTTAGTGTAACTGGGCTAGATACAATATGTAATGTGTATAATTTGTTACATATACTTTCTTAACGTCGAAATAAAATAAAGGCGCTAAGAATGTTTTATTTTTAAAATTTAATTGAAGCTATCATACCTATTTAATAGATCAGTCCAAAGAAAAGGCGCGAATATTTACTCGTGGCGTTTGGCGCGAAATTATGAATGCTTTTTATAATTCTTAGACAGGTGAACTGTTGCAAAAGTATACACAAGTATATTTAGAGCAGTGCTCCTAATAGCTTAATGGTTTGCGCGTTAATAGATCACGTAGTAATTACATTACAATTTTGTGTCAAACTAAAGATTTATTCCAGGGTTTTCTCAAACGTCTCCTGTAACAGGTTTTGGTTGGTTCTCAAAGTAGAAAAAGAAAAGACTAAATGTGCAAATGAGAGATACCTTTTATCATTTGTTTTGCAAGACGGAAAAACAGATCTTTAATCATAGTTATAAGTTATAGTTTTTCAAGAAGCAATATCGATGCATGTATATAGTAAGTATAAAACGTATAACCACTGTTTTTCCCATGCACACTTGTGTGATATTAAACGAATGGAAAAGACAAAAATAAGAAAACCATTTAAATAAGATCGTCTAATGGAGTTTATATTAACATTCTTTTCTGAAAGATCTGAATCAAGTTATTGAACATAAATGGTATCTGATTCCTTGACTGTCGTAGAGCGAGGCATGTTTTTCGGCGAAACATTTCAACCTTTTTATGAAAGTGTAACTAATCGGCATAGTTCACTTCTGAGACGGGAAATGGAAATTTAAATTATAGTCATTTCACTGCTTTTGTGTTACTTTTCTATTGAATGTGTACAATGTGTTAAATGTATTTTCTAAATCTCGAAATGTAGGCTATGAGAACATTCTTTTTTCTTAATTTCATTGAAGCTATCACACCTATTTAATAGATCAGTCCATAGAAAAGGCGCGAAGATTTAACGTGGCGTTTGGCGCGAAATTATGAATAATGGCCCGTCTTTTATAATTCTTAGACAGGTGTACTGTAGCAAAAGTATACACAAGTACATTTAGAGCAGTACTCCCAATAGCGTAATGGTTAGCGCGTTGGGGATAAAAAGGGAAAAAAGCGGATTGGATTTTCATGCTGGCGACATGGATTCAATTTATGACCAAAATTTTTAATCACTTCTCAACTCGACTTTAGAAGTTTTTTTTACCAGAATCGGACGGAAGACCTCTCGTTGCTCGCAACGAGATTGTTTCTAGTTGAAAACTTTATTTTTATATATTTTCTCTATTAGGAAAACGAAGGCGGTTTTTTTTTTATCAAGGCTACATTGCCTTTCAAATTTTAAAAGTAACATTTTCAGTGTCGGGAAAAATGGGCAGGTGTTGCGGTGCAGGAACAGCGCTAGACCGCTCGGCTATCTAGGCAAGTCTAAAAAACTTACTTTCGATGTCGATGGAATTCTCACGGTGCTGTCCCTGCACTGCTAGGAAACAGATTCCGAAGGTCGAGAGTTCAACCCCGGGCTGGGGCGGAAGTGGATATCCATGTAAAAGTGAATTTCTTTGTGCTTTCTATATTTTAAAACACTTCTTCACTTAGGGCAGTTATGTTAGTTTAAGAGTTGTTGTAAAAAGTGCTTTATAAATAATAAATAATTTCATTATAACATGTATTGGTCACAATCTTCTGTTAAAACTAATGTCCAAAAAACTGTATATCACTTCTATTCTTAATAACCGTGTAGTGTAGGGCAGCGCCGCGAGAATTCCATCGGCATCGAAAGCAAGTTTTTCAGACATGCCTAGATAGCAGAGCGGTCTAGCGCGCTGTTCCTGCACTGCTAGGAGACAGATTCCGAAGGTCGAGAGTTTAACCCAGGGCTGGGGCGGAAGTGGGTATCCATGTGAAAGTGCATTTCTTTGATCTAAAGTTCTATATTTATACTTCTTCACTTAGGGCAGTTATGTTAGTTTAAGAGTTGTTGTAAAATGTGCTATATATATATATATATATATATATATATATATATATATATATATATATATATATATATATATATTTAATATTAATAATAATTATTATAATAATATTAAAGAAGTCATAATATAAATTGAGGTATATCTTGCTGATCAAAAATCCAATGATTATTTAACTTTCCTATATATATAACACTCTTTCTTGCATTGTAATTTAATCAAATGGCTCATTTGTTATAAATATATTAAACGATTTTTTGATAGATTAAACATAATAAAGGGGAGTAATTAAATGTTGAACCCGTATTTGATTGTTTAATCCGGATTTTGAATCTCGAAACTCGAATTTCGAATTTCGTATTTCGAACCTCGATCTTTGAATGAGCCTTTTGATTGGTTAATCTGGATCTTGAATCTCGATACTCGAATTTCAAAACTCGAATTTCGAATTTCGTATTTCGAAATTTGAATCTGGAATGAGCCTTCAGGGCTTTCGTAAATTGAACCCTAGAACTCGCCCGTTTCAAGTGAGGACTCTACTTTCCTGTGAAGATGGTTTCCGCGTGCAGGGTTTCAAATATTTGAGAGAGATGAACTCATATTAAAGCTGTTTTTCACATTTATTCAGATTATATTCTTGAAACATAGAACTCTACATTATCCACGGCAAATTCCACAATTTAAGATGAATCCATTTGGAAGACTTTCTAGTGTGGATCAAAGTAAGTATATGTATATCTACCTCCTAGAAAGTATTATATGTACAGCTGTACATCTAAATATATAACAGTTTTTAACGACAGACACATTGCGTGTTTCATTGAAGATTTAGTACGGCTAATATAGCAAACCGCAGTTTTAGAAAACTTTTAATTAATTGCTTAAAAATAATAAAGGAATGAAATTAAAGCTAATTATAACAAAGTTAAACAGTAACTGGATTGATCTTATCTAGCTTCGCAAGACAATTGATTAGTTTTTGCGTTACGACCTTTTACGAGGGAGTACAGATCGATCTTATTTGTACATTTCTTGTAAAGATAATGCAATCATAGAAACACATTACCAGACAGTGTGATACTTTGTCTATTTTGTATTTACATGTACATGTATACATAACGTTTGTCGAGCCGAACTTTGGAGATTTGATAAACTTTATAGTTTTATAAGTAACGTTTTGAAGGGAAACAATTCACTTTGTTTAAGTTTCAGTGGAACAGTGGGCCTTTTTTCAACTGCAACAATGCAAATGTAACGGGGAACAAAGTCTGCGACATGGGGATTACGCCAGCGCTTTTGCGATGTATAATACAGCAGTGGAATATTGCAATATGTGCGGTCCTTTTCTGAACGTTCCGGAGGAACTTTCAAATATCCTCAGCAATCGTTCATTGGTTTTAAGTAAAATGGGGGACTTCGGATTGGCTTTGACGGATGCCCAACAATGCATTGGATTAAACCCTCATGGGGCTAGGGTAATTTCTATAAGTCGATGCAACAGTTTGTATGTAAAGATGAAGTGTTTGTTATGAAAATTTCACACAAATAGCCATGATGAAAAAAGAAATGTTTTTGAATCATTTTACATAAACTGGAGAAAAATTAATTTTATTTTTAAAGACATATTTTGTGATTATCCGAAGAGGATATTTTCTTTGCAATATTGTGCTGGAGACCAAGAATGCCTATTTTTTTTTTTATTTTCTTCCAAAAATATGCCGTTATCAAGACATCCATGTAAATTTTCAGGGGTATTTGCGTGTCTGCTGCTTACAAAGGTTTGAACAATTTTTATGAAGCTCTGAACATATTGATACAAGGCTACAATGTGACACTACCCCAAGGTGACCGGAGATCGCAATAACTTTTCTTCAGGAACTTATCGTCACAATAACTTGGCTTCAAAAACATCAAGGTATTTTAATTATACAAAAAAATTGCAATATTTTGTAGATGTTATATGCATTCACAATCAAATATACATACTGGAGTTTTAGCTATGAAGAGACTTACTTTTTACAATTGACAACTTTCCACTTTTACAAATTTGAACATAACAAACTCCAATCACTAAAATGTAAAAGTCAGCTGTCAATTGTAAAGTTAAATCTTCTTCATAAACTCCACTAGTAATATTTAGAAAATAAATGATATTTAAAGCTAGATTAGATATCGTATTTTTTTAAAAATGTTTGCTGCGTAATTAAAAATAATAAACAAACCATGCATTGATCAATCGGTTGGTTGATTCTATGCATTTAACGTCACTCCCCAAAAATTTTTTTTACTCATGTGGAACCCCACCACTTGCTGGTGGGAGCGAAAATTTTGTCCTATGCTTAAGCTTGTCACTAAGGGCCTTGGGTAGCAGAGATCTTCTTTTGCTAGCACCTACTCGACACGAACCTGGTTAGTTTTCACCCGCAGGACCGGTTTTCATGCCCCATGGTGAGATTTGAACACGTCACGTTCGGAGCAAATTTACTTTAAAATCTAAAACATACGCACTAACCACTGCGCCATGCGGACGACTGAATTGATCGAATGTTAAAAGATTTATGAAACCCACAGTATGTCAAAAAGTTATACAATTAAAAGATATCTGATTTCAGTTCTTTGTGTTTTTGGCCTTAA